AAGTATTAAATAATTTCAAGTAATGAGTGCAAATTAAACAATCTAAAATAATACTAACTTGAACCCAGTGCAAAATATTTACAAATTCGAAAAGAAATCAAGAACACTCTAGTTGTTCCTAAGCGAGATATATGGAGCTTGCACTATTCGCTCCAATGTTCAGAACTGTTCTGAAAATGATTTAAGGGTTCTTGAATTATTCGAGAACAGCTCTTAATACAGAATTTCCTGTTTCTAAATAATTCCAAAATTGTTTTCAACTGCACCTATTCCAGATTACTCTGGAACATTTGTCCCATAAATACAAAATATTTGACATAAAATTGTTCTAGAATTGTTCTGTTATTGTTTTAAGTATATATATTGTTCTCGAGTCGTTTTAGAACAGCTCTTAACATATAATTAGTTTTAGAACATCAAAATTCTTATATAAATCAAGTTTCTGATTGTGATGGAACTGTTCCATTAATTTTTTTACTCTGAAACACATTATTGAATCATTTAAGAACAGTTTTGGATACAAAACTGAACTGATTTTATGTGCTCTGAACACTTTAGAGCTACTTTTTATTGTTTTTTCATCCTATTTTGTTGTTCCGAACAGTCCTAAAGCTTACTCTGGAGCAAGAATCTTTTTATTAGAAATAATAAACAACTTTTTGAAAGGTTACTCTGCATCTTTTACTGTTTTAGGTTATCCAGAGTACTTTTACAAACTCACTCAACTGTTTCGAGGTGAGTTTTCAATTTATAGGGCTGGGGTTCCTTTAAATACTTTTATAGTTATAGTTCCTACGGAGTAGTTAGAGTGCCTACAGAGTAGTTAGAGTACCCAAATTGTACTTTTTTTTACATTTCTATGCTCTATTGATTCGAATATCGTGTTCCAGTAAATTTGTACTGAGTGTACCTACACTGTACTCTATTAATACTCTCATATTCTACAGTCAGTACACTCTACTATAGAAAAGTGATTTAGATTATTTATAAATTCATAAATAGAACATTTACTGGATTCATCCCGTCCACTTTCGGTTCGGAGTAAGTAAAGTATTATTTTGAGTTGCTTAAAACCTAGCTATAGACACTAGTTTTCGACTCTACTACTTTTTTTGACTCAGGTAACAAGACAAAAGTGAAAAGAGTATTACTCGAATTATTGGAATGTTCGAAATTGTACTCTTTTTGATTCTACTTATTATTTTGGAGTAGGTAGAATAACAATAATTGTATCCGGGAAAAAAAGAATAATCGAATAGTTAAAGCGAATATGGAGTACTCTGGAGGGCTAAAGTCGTTGAAAATCTTACTCTTTTTTGTTATTTTATACTTCACTAGTTTAGATAATGTGTTCAGAACAAGTGCAGTAATATTATTAGTGTTCGAGTATCAAGAAAAAAGTACAGTTTACGATTAATAATAATTCTAAAGAAGAAAACGAATTAAAATAATAATTCTGCTCCAATTATCAAAAATCCATATTTAAAGATTTGTGAAAATTTTGGAGTAAGTTTTGATTACTCCACTACTCTATTTACACTAAAAAGTTATTTTCGAACAATTGGAGTATCTGCTTTATTGGTTCGGGTACAGTATTAGAGTAAAGGGAGTAAGGTTTTTGGCGTAAACAAAGTGACTTCATTCAAAAGTTCTATTGTACAGATTAATTTCAACTTGGCGATTCTTTTAACACTTTTCACTCTGAAATCGTTCCGATTTAGAGCCAGAATAAGATTTATTTACTCACTGTTACTTTGAATTTTTTTTTTTTTATGTTGGAAGTTTTTGGAGTAAAATTTATCTACTCCACTCCGTGCATTTAGCTACTCTATTCACTCTAAAAGGCCAAAATTGAACGGTCAGAACCCACAGAGTATTTGAAGTGAAAAAGCCGAACATAACTCTAGACGTTTCTAGTTCTGTTCTGAAGAATCTTTTTACTCACAAATTTGAGAGTTGGAATACTTACAGAGTACTTAGAGTAAATTGCACTTTTTTTTTACTTATTTTATAATACGGATATTATGTTTGGAATAGTGGAGTAAAATTACTTGAATTAAATTAACAAAAAAAGAGTAAAAGGAGTAGACTCCAAAAATTTTGAAATACGTGGTGGAACCTTTGGAAGAAGTTCTAATTACTCTACCCCGTATAATTACGCTTAAATAAAATAATCGAACAGTTAGAGTGAACTTAATTAGACTCTATTTGATTCTTTTATACTCCACTAATTGTTTCCGGAGTAAGTAAAGTAAGATTATTCCCACCTGCAAGTGTGTTTTAGTTACTCTGACTATTTTGTATCACACTAAAAAGCCAGTTCCGAACAGTTAGAGTATCTACTTTATTGGTTTCTAAAGTTAATATGTTGTCTAATAATGGGTAACTTGATGACATCATCTAAGGTGCCTTATGGAGATTTGCATTATATTGGGGCACCTCCGATGACGTCATAAAAGCTGTCCGGCAACAACACAACTTACCTTTATTAGACAACTTTGGGTCGGGTACCGTATTGGAGTAAACGGAGTAGGATTATTGGCGTGCGGCGTGGAAAGAGTAGACACTTCACTATAAAATCGTTCGGGTTTTGACCCAAAGTAAGATTTATTTATTCCACTCCATATAAACGAACATGCACCTAGTTACTGTATTTACTCTAACAAACCGTAATCGAACAGTCAGAGTGCCATTACTTATGGCGTTTCCGATTGGTAGATCTAGTGCGGAACTAGTGCAATTTTTTCTATTTCTGTCTTTCTCTTCTACAGGTTGATTAAAAGGATGCAAATACACTCAGTGCGCACTGAATCTACCACTCGGAAACGCCATTACAAAGTATTTAGAGTGAAAAAACCGAACACAACCCTAATTCAGTTCCAAACTTCTGAAAGCTCTTTTTACTCGAACAAAGGCGAATTTGACAGTTGGAGTACTTAGAGTACCCAAAGTTGCACTATTTTTATCTATTTTATAATTTACTGATTCGGATTTTGTGTTCAGAGTGAGTGGAGTAAAATTATTTGCACTTGGTTAATAAAAAAAGAATAAAAACGAGTAGATTTTAGAGGTTTCAGATCACGTGGTAAAACTTTGGGAGTGAGTTCTAGTTACTCTAGGATACACGTTAAAAAAAGGTTAGTTGAACAATTAGAGTGAATACAGAGTACTCTAGAAGGTACAAATCATACGTAATTGTCAAGAATGTAATTGTGATCTTTTATACTTCATTAATTGTTTTCAGAGTAAGTAGAGCAATTTGCACTCGTTCCTATAATCTAAACTAACAAATTATTTCAAAAATATATTGTTTTGGAACAGTTATTGTAACCGAACTTGGAATATTTTGCACTAAGTTTGCTCCATTTAAATAAAAACAAAAGAGTCGAAATTCTAATTTTCGAACTGGAACTTTTGGAGTGAACTCCTTTTACTTCAATCTGTCCAAACGGTAACAATTATTTCAAATGATTCAAACATGTGTTCCAGAGTAAAAAAAGTAATGGAGCAGTTCCAAAACAATAAGGAATTTGATTCATATGAAGATCTTGAGACAAAATATGACTGTTCTATAACAAAAAAATGTATGTTCGGAGTTGTTCTCAAACGATTCGAGAATAATGGAATTAGTTCTAGATAGACTTGGAATAATAACAGAACAGTTCTAAAACAATTTAGAACTCGATTTATATCAAAGCCGTTTCTCGTGGTTTTAAATGAATTGTTAGTAATTCAGAACACTAATTTAAAAATTTTCTTGCACCGTATGCGTGTAATTATAATATTTCCTAGTTCGGAACAGCAATCGAAAAACTCGGAACTCTAAAAACAACCAATAAATTTTAGTAAGTTTATAGGATTCTAGAACATTAATTGTGCACCATATGCGTATAATAATAAACCAGTTCATGATTTTTTTCTTATTCAGAACAACAATCGAATTACACGAAACTTTGAGAACCAGTTCAGAAATTATCTGGAACCGGTTCTAAATGAACTTCGAACAATTCAATATGTTCGGAACAAGGCAACAACAATGGGTTTGTTCAGAATCAGTTCTGAATTGAACTACTCAATATATAACCGAATTTTCGTGACGAACTATTTTCATGATTTCATGGAACACAAACGCTTTTGCGAGAAACTCATGACGTCATATTGAACGTAGTTCGACGGAAGCATGGACGCAGCTTCTAGCCAGCGTTCAAACTCATGACGTCACAGATGGATTATTGATGAACTACATTCCTCGCGAAAATTCGGTTCAGAGTTGTCTTGAACCGGTTCTAAATGCACTGCGAATAAAAAAGAGTAAATTCGATGTGTTCCAGAGCACTTATATTAGAATTTTTTGATCGTGAACTTATTTCGAAGAGAATTTTAGAACACAAAAAAACGATTTACAATTGATTCTAGTTGAACTTTATATAGTTTGGAACCGGTTCTAATTGAATTACGAACATAAAATAGAGTAAGTTCAATGTGTTCTAGGACAGTAATTCAGGATTTTGAGTAAGTGAGAATGAGGCATAATACGTATCGAAAAATAGAATCGCTATTTTGACAATTCGATACGAATTTCGAATCGACTCGTAAAATAGAATCCGGTAGCTGACTCTAGAACTGTTTTTATCGACAATCAATAGGGGGCGTTCACCAGATTCAAACGTCAATTCTGTTTGGAATTTAAAAAAATTACTCCGAACACGTTTGATCACCCTAAATAGAATTCTATTCTAGAATGTCAGCTGATTGTCAGGCAGCTGTCAAGATGAAAATTCATGAGAAGAAAAAAGAAAGGGCTGTGTTGTGGTTCTTTGGTTCTCTGTGTGGTGTGAACTCTTTTTATAAATAAATCGAATTTTAATAGATTATTTCAATTAAAACCAATTAATACAAACAAAATGTAGCTTTCCTGATTTCATCATTATAAAGTTTTCGTGCAATTAAACTCGCGTGTGTGCAATAACAAAAAAATGTCCAAAAATTAATAGTAAAATATGCAACAAAATTCAGACTCTAACGGCGAATCGCCGCGGCCGACGGCTTTTACCATAGATTTCGACCACGATAAAAAAGTCGATGTGCAAAGGCACAAATCTCTGGCGGAAAAGTTCCAGCAGAGGCACAAAAGGGGCAAGTCGATGTCCAAATTGGAAAGCAGCTCTACTACGACGCCTACGGTTAATAAGAAGTTGCCCCTCACAGGGAATTTGCCTAGGAAAGCTAGTTTTCAGTTGGAAGGTAAGTTAGTGTTTATTTTGATTTTATTTACAAAATTTTACCCTTGATTTTACCCCTTGTTTTACCTTAAATTTTGTTATGGCTTTACTTGCTGTAAGTTTATTACAGTAGTTTTTACAAGGTCTTATTTGTTTATAAAACACATTTTTTACAACTTCTTTGTTCTTTGAAGCTTTACAAAAATCACAGGGTCAATGTTTTGTTTTGGTTTATGTTGAAAATATCGAGGAAAATCTAGAATAGCCACTTTCACATCCAAATAACAGATTTAAATTTTTCTAATTATTCTAATACAAACTGTACCTATTCCTTTTTTTCCACAAAAAAGTATTAGATGAACCTATTGAGGTTTAATAAAACACAGTGAAATGAGTCTAACTATAATGAAAAGATACGTGACAAATTCGCATGACAATGACAATTTTTTACAATGACAATACTAATCATTACAGGTTCTATAGGTAATAACTAGGTGAACAGAACTAACTAATTATAGCGGGAGAATAAAACTCAAATACTTCTTCTTAACACTCCCACCTATTTGTGTTTTATAGAAGAATTAACATTATTCAAAAAAATACATTCGGATATAAACTAAAACTACAATAACATGTTTAATTTTTGAAGGCAATTGTTCAGAACAGTCTTTGTAACTGGCTTTGTGAGAATATCTGCCAATTGTTCGTTAGAATTTACATAATTGACTGAAATGTTACCTTTTTCAATTTCGTCACGCACAAAATGCACTTTAATGTCAATATGTTTTGTTCTTCTATGTTGCTGCTGAGCCTGAGCTAGTTTTATGGCTGATTGGTTATCCACATTAATTTTTACTTGTGGGAAGTTTATTCCTAATTCGTTTAGAAAAGACGTCAGCCATAAAGCTTCTCGTACTCCGAGTGATAACGCTAAATATTCGGCCTCAGTGGTAGACTGAGCAACAACGGTTTGTTTCTGACACTTCCAGGTGATCGGTGCATTTGCAAGAACAAAAACGTTGATGGTTGATTTTCGTGTGTCTATACAACCTGCATAGTCAGCATCTGTATATCCGAATAGATTTATTTTTGGCGATTTAGAGAAAACGATTTTATAATGAGCAGTGAGCTTTAAATAACGAAATATGCGTTTAACCGCTTGCCACTGTTCATCTTGCCAGTTATTATAAAATCGACTCACTTGATTCACTGCGAAAGAAATGTCTGGTCGACTACACGTTGCTAAAAACATCAAAGAACCGACAGCTTCGCGATAAGGATGCTTTTTTGCACACACTGTATTTTCAGGTAATGACAACAGAATACTCGGTTCCGCAGGAACTGATAAGGGTTTGGCATCACTCATTTGAAACTTATTTACAAGTCTAGTTATGTACATTTGTTGGTGAATGCAAATTATACCGTCAGATAAATTTTGTTCGATTTCAAGACCAACAAAATTTAGTTTTGAACTGTCCAAATTTACAACGATTTTAAACATCTGTTTCAAAATATTAATAAGTCCAGATATAGCAGTTTTTAATTTTGACATCAACAGACCGTCGTCGACATAAATAGCCAGATAAATTTATTTTTTTTATTTAGTCATTTATTTAGCACAATATACTAATTCTATGTTACAATATACCGGTTCCGTCTTATTCTAAAATCTAAAACAAAATATCAAAATCACATTACTTATTAAAACTAACAATCATAGACTATAGACTACAAATCCAGTCATCCTTACAATAAAGTTAACAATTTAAAAAACAAAAATCAATCCAAATCATAACAACAATTAACCATCTCAAGGTACATACAAACTATTCTCTCTCAGCAAATGAACTTTCAGCTGTTTCTTAAAACTATACATTGAATCACATGTTTTTATCACAGCGGGCAATTTATTGTATAGATCGACTCCCCTAAAAAATAACGTATTTTGACCAGACTTTTTATTTTTTGGTGCTATGAAAAAATCGTTTTGCTGACGTGTACTGTAGTTATGGATTTCATTATTATAAATTATTTTATCCATTAAGTATTGAGGGGCATGACCATTCTTTATCTTGAAAATAAAAACCATAACACTGTACTTAATATATTCAGAAACAGGCAACCATTGCAAACGTTCTTGCATAGAACGGATTGAAGTGTATCTGTTACATCCCAAAATCACCCTCATTGCACGATTCTGCATTTTTTGTATTCTTCCTAATGTATTCTGGTTTAACAAAAACAAAATACTTGCACAATAATTAATATGTGGTAGTACAAGTGTATTATATATAACAAATTTAGTCCAGAAACTCAAATATGGACTGCATCTTGTTAGATGACTAATATTGTAGCTCAATTTACTTATAATTGAATTGGCATGCTCCGCAAATGTCAGCTGATCATCAATTATTACTCCCAGATACTTAATTTTTCTAACAATCTCAATAGGATACCTATCAATACGTATATCAAATTTGTCTTTACCAAAAGCCCTTCTCATTTTTTCTGGTATGACAACCATAGATTTTGTTTTTGATGCATTTATCTTCAACTTATTCACACACATATAATTGTACAGATTATCCAGAGCATTATTAGTACTTTCAACCAATTCATTCACATTCTTAGATACAGAGTATACCAGAGTGTCATCTGCAAACAGATGAACATTAACCGGAGGATGCACCGCATTTACGATATCATTGATATATAGAACAAACAATAAAGGCCCCAGTATACTGCCCTGAGGTACACCATAGTTATTAGTTCTCTCAGTTGATATCTCCCTACCCAACCTAACTACTTGCCTACGATCCACCAGGTAACTATCAATTCATTCCAATACTCTTCCACGCAATCCCAGTTTATGCAATTTCAAAACCAGTCTCTGTCTATCGATAGTTTCAAATGCTCTTTGAAGATCCAAGAAAACTGCAACTATACCATAGTTGTTGTCTAAGCTATTTTTCCACTCATCGATCACACATTGTATGGCTGTTTCACAACTGTGCTTTTTTCTGAATCCGGACTAGTTACCTGTTATCAAATTATTACTTTCCACAAAATCAATTAATTGCACATATACCACCCTTTCAAGAATTTTTTCCACAGCCGCCAGCATATTTAATGGTCGAAAATTGGATGCTACATTCACATTAGGTTTCTTTTGAATTGGCACCACAGTAGACAGCTTCAACCTATCAGGGACAGTACCTATTTCTAAAGAGTAATTTATCAGATTTATTAGGGGATCTTCAATTCCCACATATATGTTTCTCAATAATTCAATATCCAAATCATCTGGACTTTTTTTGATTTTGAAAGAAAATACTATGCTTTTCAATTCTTCCCTTGTAATTAGGCTGAAATCTGATAAAATGAGGTCATGCTGTTCATCATAATCTGCGTTTAACTCAATTGTATTTGGAATTTGTTCACAAATATTCCTTATGCTTTCAATGTAGTACTCATTTAGTCTCTCACAAATTACTCTACTATCATTCTCACATTCACCATTTTCAAATTCAACAAATTCTATACTGTTTTTATTTTTTGAAGGGATAATTTGTTGAAGTACCGTCCACATTTCCTTTGGGTTACTTTTACAACCATCAACCTTTGCCTCAAAATATTTCCTTTTTTCATCCTTAATCACCCTCACAACATTATTTCTTTTCTGTTTATATATATCACGAGTTAGCTCTAAATTGTCAACTTTATACCTCTTGTACCATTCATCCCTCTCCTTTACAGCATTCTCAACTCTTTCATTCCACCATGGTTTATATTTAGCCAGTATTTTTACTTGCTTCTTGGGCGCAATTTCGTTCAGAGCGTCCAAACAATTATTGAGGAACATATCACACTTAACATTTATATCAATATTACCATACACCCAGTCAACACCCAAGAGTTTTTTCTGCACACCCCTATAGTCAATATTTCTCCCACGAGTTTCAACAAAAAAGGGCTCTTGGTTTTTTTTGCTCCAGACTTCAATACCAACAGACAAAATATAATGGTCACTTATTCTAGGGGTATTTAAAACATTACAATAACTAATAGTCATCACATTTGAGAAAATCAGGTCAATAAGCGTACCCTCACATCCCCTATTCGCTGGTCTAGTCACTTTTGTAACTAACTGGTTGAGTCCTGCCTCTTTACTATATAATCTTAACCTATTTGTATATGTATCATTTATTAACCAATTCAAATTAAAATCACCTGCCACAATTATTGGCGTTTTAACGTCACATATATATTCTTCATACCAGCCCTCGAAAAAATCTAAAAAATCTGCACTACTCGAACTTGGAGATCTATAGATGCAAGCAACTCTAAATAACTTATTGTAAATTTCGATCTTCAAACTCAAAATCCAATAATCTTTGTTATGAGACAGCTGTTGTATGTTAATAACTCTAATCCTATTCTCAACATAAATCTGCACACCACCTGTATGCCTACTAACACTATCTACTCTCATACACCTGTAACCCTCAACAAATACCTCAGACGCATCTATATTCTCAGTTAGATGAGTCTCTGATATACATACCACATTAGGTTTCTTAGTAATTAATAAACTATGTATTTCATCAAAATGTGCATAGGTACTACCTGCATTAAAGTAAATCAAACTAAAACTAAGAGCACTCTTGTCTTTATCTATTCTATTACTACATCCATGCGGAGTGGGCCTAAAAAAGAATTCCGTGCATTTTGGCAAGCATTGCTAATATCAGCTGTTTTTTTGTTTTTTTCATTCTCAGCAAAGTGACCAAGAAATACACAAGGGTCTGTTTTTAATTGTTTAAAATCGTACTGATTTAAAAATGAAACAAACTTACGGTTCCAACATCGTGCTGATTGCTTTAGTCCGAAAAGGCTTCTGTCTAATTTGCACACTAAACCGGGTTTCTTTTGGTTTTCGAACCCCGATGGCTGTTTCATATACACACACTCCGAGAGATCGCCGAACAAAAAGGCTGTTTGTACGTCGAAATTAGAAATATG